GTTCTCGAGCAGAGCATCTGGTGGATTCGAAACGCGCAGCTCTGAGATTGCAGTGCAGCTTCTTGCCACTAGGCCACCAGAGCTCCCTTGCACGTGAATTTAAAGACCATCTCTGGAACAGATTTAAGGTCTTGAACACTAAGAAGCAAAGATCAGATGAGCTGTGGGAGGATATCAAGAATATCAATCACAAAGAATGCAAAAGGTCATTACAACGACGGAGGATAAAGAAAAGACCAAAATGGATGTCAGGAAAAAAGATGATTATTAAACTAGAGCACCAAGAAGCCAAAGCAGAGGGAAAGAATAAAAAAGTTAAGGAGCTGAGCTGAACAGAAGATTTCAAAGGGCAGCTCGGGAAGACAAAGCAAAGTATTACGATGAAAAATGCAAAGAGCTGGAGCTGAAAAATCTCAAAGGACAAACTCAGCATGTCTTAGGTAGAAAGAACTGAAGAACAAATTCAAGCCTCAAAGATGCTGTGGTCAGAATATTGAAATAGCCAGGAAGTATCAAAAGAACATGGAAAGGGTTAATACACCAAAAAGAATTGGCTGATATGGAAGAATTTCATGAAACAACATATGATCAAGAGGCAGTGGTGATGAAGGAATAGGCTGCTCTGAAGGAATTGGCAAAAAACAGGTCCCAGGAATTGATAGAGTACAGTTGCAGACTGAGGGTCCCAAAGAATGAAATAATTTTATAATTATTAATAATGAGACAAACAGCCAGGAATGAGATAAAGCAGAGAGCATAAAATGGGGGTGGGGGACAGCAGTTTTTGAAGGAAGACCCCAAGTCATGTTTCTCTGTGTATTTATTGATAATCTGGGGAAGCAAATAATAAAAAAAATTCCTTGTAAATGAAGCCGAATTTTTCTCTATTGTCAACCTAATGCTCTAGCCCAGGAAGTATTTCACAGGTAGTAACACTCTGAAGGGGGGCCCTAGCTGTCTCCTGTCTGCAGGGAACAAACAGCTCATTTTCTGGAATCTGCCACCAGAGAAATCCTAACTTATAAATCTGTAATTCTTTCAATTCCTGAACCAAGGGTTTTCATATAATATTTGGTATAAAGTTTGGCTTTCCATATTTCCCCCCTTTTGTTTTTTTTATCATAATTATGTTATCATCTAGACTAGCATCTTCTCTTCTTTGATTCACTCTTGCTTGTTTTGGTTTTCTCCATCCTTCATATACAAA